TAAAAGGCGATTTTGCAACGTTGAAAACGCGAAGGAATGTTCTTGCTCCTTCTAAGACAGTTGAACGCGGACAGTAGCATAGCTGAGCTTTGGTTCAATGGGATTCGCGGCTAGAAGGCGACGCTCGCACCTCGTCGAAGTCTGCGTCTCTCAGGTGCTTTCTGATCATTCTTCAGTCGTGATTAGTCCTCCAAGCCCATCTTTCCAGCGCCAATGCCGTTGAATGAAAGGGCAGTAAAGCTACTGATCTACTAACAATAGAATCTACTAACAATACGAACCTACAGCTGAAATATCTTCGAAATTACTTTTGCTGGAGTCAAACGTGAGACAAAGTAGACGTTGGTTAAGTGTAACATATTTACTACGCTAAAGCTAATGAAGCAATCTCCTACACTTTTTGTTATATATAAATGGAGGATATTGCACACATGTCTTACCAGGATCTACATTGACCTCATCGTTGACCTGTGACGTTCCGGCGTAACTTCCTATAATGTCTGAAGTCATTTTGGCACTGAGCACTTCGGAGGTGCTAACGCAACTCGTCCGAATAGTTGACAAGGCGCTCGTTGACGTCCATGGTTGCAGCCTATAGTTGCTTTCACATCACTGAAGTGGAAGTTTTAAAACTAAAAAGGTCACCTTATGCCTTGAGATTTCGAGTCGGAGCGCTGCTGGGATGCATATCTCACAGCTTTACTAGTTGTAGTTTCTGGTGATGTGTGGATGCTGCTTGGGCATTTGCTTTTGAGATATTCGTTGAGAGTGACAGGAGGACACTGAAAAATAGGAAAAAAGTGCTTCTCTTTTTAACAAATGTCTGAAAGAGGCAGCGCTCAAGTACTTTATCTGAGAAGAATCTTTCAATTCCGCTTGTCTGCAAATTCAGTTCCAGTTTGAGCTTGTGCCAAGCCTGAGATTTGTACAAAAACTTATCCATGACATCCAGTGAGTGGCGAAGACATGACATTGCTGTCGCTATCTGGAAATGAAGGCACTGCTTATGTTCAAAGGCATATCTGAGTGGAATTATCATTTTACCTCGGCCACTAAGACATTCAATTCAGTAGTTGTTTGTTCCGAGAGCATTTGCTCCTGCCTGCTGTAGTGTAAGGAATCGAGCTTGTTTAACTGCAAGTTACTATTAAGATAGTAAAGACTCAATGGTATGCACACGGAAAAGTTTCCGATAATGGACTGAATCACGATAGGTTGTATAAAGTATATGAAAGTTTTCTTTTGTTCTAGTATGACTCCTTACCAGTTGGTGCAGAATTTTGTCTTTTTAGCTTTTCATGATGTAATATCCGTTTACTAATGCGCGCTTAAAAAGGTCATTGCTTTTTTTTATTATTCGTGACTACCATCCAAGAGAATGAATTAGGAACTTCAGTTTGCCTGCAGTTCTAGATAGTTAAGGCGATGTCAAACAGCAAAAGAGAGATCGAAGAGTATGGTCCTCCCTTGAAGTATGGAATACTGTTCGTCGTTTCAAACGCTAATATGAGATCTGAGCTCAAATCTGCCATGCACTGAAAAGGAAGAATGTAATGAGTTTTTCCACAAAGATTTCGAGTAACATTGGTAAGCAGCATAACACTCCAAAAACAGTTCTCATCAGGTCTCAGAAAAACTAGCCCGGATGCTTGTAAATTTCAATAAAAAAGTCTATTTTTATTCTTCGCGTAGTGCTGAACAGAGAAGTCAGCGTTTCAAAGTGTGTAGTGGCGCATGACAGCGGTGCGAGCATTGCCATATTGACAGCATTGCCATACTTTTGTTTGATGCACAAAACTACTACTTTTCACATTTACAGGCAGAACTCGAATGCTTCAACCTGGTTTGTTAGCTGCTTAACAGCATTGGCGTTGATCTTCAGGAGATTTGTTGTCCCGTCATTGCGCGGCACTCTTTCTTTCAGTGGGAATAGACCAGAACGAAGCTCCTGTAGGGCCGCATATCTTCGCAATATCTAGCAAAAACGACGTTTCATCAGAGAAAACTATGGAAACTTCAGGCAATCATTTACCGGTTGTAATATGTCATAAATGTTCATTATGTGTGCAGTACTGTAACTATCTTCAGAAACAATACGATACTCGAGGCTATTGAGCACTAGAACAATCTGGAATGGAAATTCTCTAAAAGCGGCCCGGTTCTCCTAGGATGGGTGCTCGACACACCTCTCCCTCCGTCTTCTCCAGCAGTTCTTCCACGGTGTCCAGAGCCCGATGTGCGTCAACGAGCACGCGCACTAAGCTCATGCGTGACAGTGACATGAATCGTATAAGCCGCCTCACGTGTTTAAGTTGGTGGTGCAGTAACCGTAGTAGGCGAGTCTCTCTCGTAGCACCCTGAAGGGACTCAAATTTTGTCCAGCCATTTTCCAGAGTGCGAACTTTTGATGACGAAAGCCTGTTTAACAGAAGTGGCCTTCCCAGAAGGTCTTATTCAGGACTGGGCCACGAGTGGCTTAGCGTTTCCCAACATACGAAGTCCGCGTTAACTTTACAGCACTTCTACGACATGCTTTATCTGGTGCCCACAGAAAGAAACATAAAAACAGCTAAAACCATTTGACTGATAAACTGTTTACCTTGATATGGTGCTTGTTTGCTTTGGCGGCATGTCGTGTCCGCTGCGCACCACCGCGCAAGTAGTGCCTCATTGCTGCAACCATTCAAAAACTTGGGGAGGGTTACTAGCGGAAAGGAAACAGTATGTGGCGACTTAAAGGCAGCGTCCAGGCAAATCTGGACATATGGG